ATGCCTGTAATCCTAGCTACTCAGGAGGCTGAGATCTGAGGATCATAGTTCAAAGCAAGCCCGGGCAGGAAACTCCGTGAACTCTTATCGTCAATAAACCACTAGAAAACTGGAAGTAGTGCTGTGGCTCAAGTGGTAGAGTGCTAGCTTTGAGCTGAAGAGCTCAGGGACAGCGCCCAGGCTCAGAGTTCAAGCCCCATGACAGACCCAAAAAAAAAAAAGTATTTTTAATGTTTAGTGGTTTTTAGTATAATTACAGTCATGCATCTATCATCAATGTGTGATTCCAAAATATTCTCATAATAAATGTTGTTGTCCCAAATAAATGTTGTTGTCTTTTAGCAGTCCCTGCTCATTTTTATCCCCTAGCCTTTGAATTCACAAATCTGTTTTCTGTCACTATAGATTTATCTGGTCTAGACCCTTTCTATAAGTAGAATGATATAATTTGTGGCCATATTATGTGTTTTTTTGTTTGTTTTTGCTTAGCATGATGTGTTCAAGATTCATCTATGTTGCATTAGTATTCCATTCTTATAAATGGTGGATAATATTCAGTTATAGATGTACTGCATTTTGTTTCATTCATCATTTGAGTGTTGGGTTGTTTTACTTTTGGCTATTAGGAAATAATGCTGCTCTGAGCATTCTTGTTTAAGATTTTCTTTTTTTTTTATTGTGAAAATACTGTACAGAGGGGTTATAATTACATGGGCAAGATAGTGAGTACATTTCTTATTAAGCATTGTAGCTTCCTCCTTTGTTTACCCTTCCCATCCTTTCCCATCCTCCCCCCCCCCCCCCCCCCCCCGCCTAATCCTCCCCCCCCCCCCCCCCCAAGTTGTAAAGTTCGTTTTTGACATGACAACTTGTACTTCTCATTGTTGGAACAGTTATTTCAATGACTTGTTTTTCCCCTTCCCCTCTACAAATTATACCGACATCAAATACAGTGAAAGCAGGGGTTATACTGTGGGGGAGGGACATACAAAGCAACAAAGAAATAATCTTATAATTGTGTTAGAAACAAATGCATGAAAGAAAAAAAAAACATTTAAAATACATATCTTAGGGTTCATTTTCTAACATCACCTTATCTGATCTTTTTTGCTTGACTCATACATATACTAGATATTGCAAATAAGGGAAATCATGGGACCTATGTTTCTTTGGGCTTGGCTTACTTCACTTAATATAATTTTTTCCAAGCCTTTCCATATCCTAACAAATGGGGCAATGTCATTCTTTCTGATGGAGGCATAGAATTCCATTGTGTATATATACAACATTTTCTTGATCCATTCATCTCCTGAGGGGCATCTGGGTTGGTTCCAGATCTTAGCTATGGTAAATAATGCTGCAGTAAACATAGTTGTGCTGGTAGCTTTAGTGTGGTCTTGTTTGTAAACATTTGGGTAAATGCCCAAAAGTAGGATTGCTGGGTCATAGGGGAGTTCTATGTGGAGTCTTTTGAGGAACCTCCATACTACTTTCCAAAGTGGTTAAACAAGTTTACACTCCCACCAACAATGAAGTAAGGTTCCCTACTGTCCACATCCCCTCTTGTTTAAGATTTTCTATACATGTATCTTTTTGCTTTTTTTTTTTGTTACAGACTTGGCTGTGGAATTTCTTGATCATGTAGTAACAGTGTTTAGCCTTTTTAGTTGTTGTTTTTTGTGACAGAGTTTTAACTAGGTAACCCAGGCTGACCCTGAACTTGCTGTCCTCCTGCTTCTAGCCCCTGAGTGCTAGGATTACATGCCAGACCTGGCTGTGCTTAACCTTTTCTGGACTACCCAACTGTTTCCAAAGTTGCCATACCATTTTATATTTCCCACCAGCAATGTACAAAAATTTCTATTTCTCCTATCCTCATCAACACTTAATATTGTCAGACTTTGTTATTATAATCATCCTAGTATGTGATTATTACTAGTGTGTGAGGGTTTTGTTGTTGTTGGTGGTGGTTGTAGTGCTTAAACTCCAGGTATGTTCCTAAGCTCTTTTGCTCAAGGTTAGCACTCTACCACTTTGAGCCACAGCCTCATTTCCAGTTCTTGAGTGGTTAATTAGAGATAAGAATCTCATGGTGACTTTTCTGCCTAGGCTGGTTTCAAATCATGATCCGCAGATCTCAGCCTCCTGAGTAGCTAGATTTATAGTCATGAACCACTGGTGCTTGTGCTCCATGTGGTTTTGACTTGTATAATAACCAATGATAATGACCATTGAGCAGAGAACTCTAGCTGAGTTAATTTTCCTTTTGCTGTTGAGTTATAAGAGTTCTTTGCCCTAGAGGCATGGTCCTTATCAAATATAGAATTTGCAAATGTTTGCTCTCATTCTGTGGATTGCCTTTTTACTTCATTGTTCATTTAGAAGCACAAAAGTTTTAAATTTTAATAACACCTAATTTACCTCTTGTTCTTCATCAGTTAAGCTTATGGTGTTATGTTAAAAAAAATTGCTGCTTGACCCAAGATCATAAGAATTGCTGCTCTGGTTTCTTTGAAAAGTTTTATAGTTTTATAGATCTGATTCTTTTTGTGTTAATTTTGTAAACTTATTTTACCTCTGGATATCTAGTTGTTCCAGCATTATTTGCTGAAAAGGCTATTCTTTCTTCATTGACTTTTTTGGTACCCTTTAAAAAATTAATTCGCCATGACTATAAGGGTTGATTTCTGGACTCTCAGTTGTATTTCATTGACCTACATGACTATCCTTAGGTAAATATTGTACTAACTTCATTAGTGTAGCTTTGTAGTAAACTTGAAAGTCAGCAAACATTTCTCTTATTTCTCAAGATTGTTTGAGTACTCATAATCTTTTTTTTTTTTTTTTTTTTTGTCGGTCGTGGGGCTTGAACTCTGGGCCTGAGTGCTGTCCCTCAGCTCTTCAGCTCAAGGCGAGCGCTCTACCACTTGAGCTACAGCACCACTTCTGGTTTTCTGGTGGTTTATTAGAGATAGGAGTCTCATGAACTTTCCTACCCCAGCTGGCTTTGAACTGTGATCCTTAGATCTCAGCCTCCTGAGTAGCTAGGATTACAGGCGTGAGCCACCAGAGCCTGGCTCATAATCTTTTTTAAAGACAATTATTTTGAGTATTTAGTGTGCTTTCTTTGAGGAAACCGATGTATAAATATTTAAGTGTCTAAAATAGATTATTTATTAATAGAAAAGGAGAATTTTGTTTACCTCTGATAGAATTAGAGGAGGAATTCCTAAATAATTTCTAGTTATTTAACTTTATTTTTTTTTAGATATTCTTTTAGGTCTCTACTATGTAGAGAGCTACATCTTACTGTCGATGTATTAGCCACCTGTGTGCTAGGTAGTGCTAGATATTGCGGAAATCCTGAAGACACTGGGGTTCTATAATGACCCAAGTTGACTTCTGGCTCTCAGGTTTTTGAAGTGTTTATTGACCTTTAAAAAAAATTATCTTTTAAGTAGTTGCACAAAAGAGTTGCCATTTAACAAAGCAACTTATGAATACAATATATCTTGATGATTGTCGACTTTTGACTATATTTGATTATAATTTTGAATGTAATTGTATCTCTGTTGTGCCTACCATTAGATGAAAAGTTTATTTTGTTGCCAAATGTGAAAGACCTACTGATGAAAATTCCTCTTTTCTGCTAGTATGAATAAAGTACAAATGGGTGGAAGAAGAAGATGATGAGTGTCTTTGAGTAGCTGTGTTGCACTTGAGAAATTATGAGAACAACCCAATGTTCTTATCATTCCTTGGTATGCACATATTATCTCCTCTCATTTGTGATACTGTGAAGGCAAGGGCCTTGCTTTATTTACCTTTCTTACTCCTTCACTTATTTGGAAATTTTAGTATTCAGTATATGTTGCTTGAATGATTGAATGGATCAAGGAAGAAATACATGACCTTACACTAAATTAGGGTTTGCATAAATTTTAATGGCCAGTAAAATTGCCTTAGGAATCTTTTCTTTTCTTTTTTCCTGTCTGTTGTGGGGCCTGAACTCTGGGCCTGGGCTCTGTCCCTGAGCTCTTCAGCTCAAGGCTAGCGCTCTACCATGTGAGCCACGGTGCCACTTTGGGCTTCTTTTTGCTTATGTGGTGCTGAGGAATCAAACCCAGGGCCTCATGTATGCAAGGCAAGCCCTCTACCACTGAGCCACCTTCCCAGCCCCATGCCTTAGGAACCTAAATTCAGTTGTTCATTGTGAAGATGTGAGAGACTAAGTATGATAGACCTTTAATAAAATAAGATTAATGAGAATCACAAATAACATTGGAACTAAATTGCACAAATACCTAGAACAAATATTGACATTTATACATGTTCAAAGTTACTGGGGTCCATAAGATGATATAGGATGATAGGGGAAGTCTTAAACAGAGCTGGAATGTCATCTAGACTTAAAAGAACTTGTCAGGCACATTGGCACATTCCTGTAATGCCATCACTTTGGAGAAGAGACAGGGGATCAAAATTTGAGGCCAGTCTGTTCTATATAATGAGTTGAAGGCCACTTAGGCAAACATTGTGAAACACTGGCACAAAAAAACAAACAAAAAGCTAAAAATAGAAGAACTGAGGGCAAACAGATTAATAGGAAGAACTTAATCTTTCCAGACCAGGAGGCAGTTGTTAGTAGGATAGTATTTGTCCCCTTTCTGACCAGGTGACAAGTAGAAATATGTGGAAGCTGATGGTTCTTCCAGTATTTAGCATTCAGTGAGAAGAGGCTGGGTCTGCTGAAGTCACCAGTGTGATGTTTGGAACTCTTCTGGCTCCCAGTCTCCGTAGTACCCTGGTTGAACTATTCGGGAGAGGAAATGCAGGGGGAAATGCTATTCCTGGGTAGTGTCCTAAGTGAGTACTGATCTTTGTTTTGTAGTTAGGTAGCATGGAATATGAACCAAAGTAGCTTTTATATTTGACCAGTTTGGATGCTTTTGATTATTGTGTTTCCTGGTTTCTTACAGTTTCTTTTTTCTCTATCTTAGAACGAGTCTTTGACCCCAGGTTATCATGGATTCCCACCGCGGGATAGCCAGGTTGGTGTCTACTATTTATAACTTGTGTGTGTGTGTGTGTGTGTGTGTGTGTGTGTGTGCATATACAGATGTGATCAAAGTATACTTTAAGAGAGAAATGTTAACATCTCCTAAAATTACTTACTTTGGAAGGTAACACAACTTATTTCAGGAATGAATATGTTTTTTCAGATATAAAATAAATATTTCATAGTCCTAAAGGTATTATGTTACTTTAATTATGGATATTACAAGAGAAAATTATTAAACATTGCAAGGATTCACTTTTTTGCTAATATCTTAACCGTTTTTTTTAATGTCTCTTAATTCTAACAGCTGAAATTGTCTCCCCCCCCACCCCCCTCGTCATTTTGTCTTTCTGTATGGATCTGTTTGATCTGTTTCCATCTTTGTAATAAGGTAAAGGAAGAAAATTCCATGCTCCTTCCAGGGGGATTTAAAAAATTTTTTTTGACCTTATGGTTTTAATCAGAGAAATCTTGCCAGAGACATTGAAATTTCTGCCTTTTTTCCTTTATTAAATGGGAGATGATTAGAAACAGGCCAGGACCTTTCATAGGTTAGAGTAGAACTGCTTCCTACAGATTATCCTCTTTACAGTTTGAGGAAATGTGTGAAATGCCTTCCATGTTTTTTTGCTACTTGAAGGCTTCAGTAGATAAGGTTGAAATGAGAGTTAAGAACCAGGTACAACTGGTATGGCTCAAGTCACCTTGCTGCTGAATGACATTGGTCTCCTTCCTGTTTGAGGATATTGACATTTTTCAGGTCTGAAAGGACAAGTCCTGGAAATGTCTTTTGAATGCCCATTCATAATTTTTTTTTTTGGTCATGGGGCTTGAACTCTGGGCCTGGGTGCTGTCCCTGAGCTCTTCAGCTCAAGGCGAGTGCCACAGCACCACTTCCAGGTTTCTAGTGGTTTATTGGAGATAAGAGTATCACAGAATTTCCTGCCTGGGCTGGCTTTGAACCATGATCCTCAGATTTCAGCCTCCTGAGTAGCTAGGATTACAGGCATGAGCCACCGGCCCCTGGCTCATAATTTCTTTTAAGCTTGTCAAAAGAAGCTACCACTGTTAGGTTTGTCTACTGGATATGAACCTTCATAGTGCTAAATGAAGTAGCAGTCCATTTAGTTCCTTCCAAGAAGTTAATTGAGTTTCATCAGGGCCTCTGAAAATAATCTTAAAAAATAGCATAAGCTAAGGTCATCTTCATAGAGGCCTTCCACATTTGAGAGTCTTTGCCCAGTGCTTGCATTTTGGGTACTAGGTTGGTATCTGAGAAAGCATTCATCTCACTGTTTATCTGTCTGTGGGATCATCACCATTAAAGTTGAAGACAGAAGCTTTTGGTGAGAAATAAGGTTACCTGTCTAAATCTGAAGACAATCAGAATTTTTTTGGAGGGAGAGGGGGTTATGGGGCTTGAACTCAGGGCCTGGGTGCTGTCCCTGAGCCTCTTTGTGCTCAAGGCTAGTGCTCTACCACTTGAGCCACAGCCCCACTTCCGATTTTGGAGTAGTTAATTGGAGATAAAAGTCTCATGGGGACTTTCGTGCCTGGGCTGGCTTTGAACTGTGATCCTCAGATCTCAGCCTCCTGAGTCTCTAGGATTACAGGCGTGAGCCACTGGTGCTCGGCAGGATATAGTCATTTTATTTGTTTTCCCTCTGGTGTGGATTGGCCACAAATCTATAAGCTGTGAAATTTGTGCTTCTTGACAATAGTTCTGTATCCTAGCCATAGGTTAAAACTGGAGGTTCAGCTCCCAAAGATTCCTAGGCTTAGCTTTCAACTGTTTATACATGGTTCGGCTATGTGGTAAGGGGTCAGGGTCAGTCTCTTAATCTAGTCCTGTATACTAAGGTATGCTAATTGCTAAAAAGTGTGTTGATATTTTTAGCTCTGAAGCTGAAAGGAGTACGGTCTGATGCTGTGTTCTTTCTGTGAGGGATTGCAGATCAGTGAGGAGCAAAATGAAAAGGAGTTAATAGCATTTATTAAATCACAGAAAGTATTGTCATTGCTTGTAACTACTTTACTTTTCTTTCCTTTTGGAGCAGGGACCTGTACATTCATTACTCATACCATCTCTGCTGTAGGCCTGTGCAAACCCATTGGCCATTATGTAAAGCTGCTTAATTTACTTTGAGGCACATTTTGATGGTGACAGGTTTATTTTCAGTTTATTTTCTTGGGCCTTATTTTGTACTCTGGTTGGATCTTTGAATTAGGGATCTTAGAGTAGTGCAAATAGGCAAATATTGAATAGCTGCTTGTTGTATTTGATGAATACAGAATCCAAATGAGTACTGCTAATTAATGCGCCTAACCTCGTGAACTCTCACTCTGTGCTCTGAGATTTGGGAGGCATTTATCAGTGTGAAACACTGGTTATTGAGCAATCTGAGCTGGGCAGGAGCTGAACTTGTGAGCTCTACATCTCCCCAGGGTAGATTTATCTCAGCAACTCCAGGATTTGGGGATGGGATGAAGGTGAATTTTAATTTTGTGTCTTTATTTGCTCTCCTTATTCTTTTGCTGTTCTTTATAAATAGAAGAATCTTTTCCATACAGGAATTTTATGTGTTCTGAAAGTTTAGAGTCTTGATTGTTTTAAACAAAGTATTAAAAAAAATCTTATCCAATTATCTTTTGAAGTAGATGAGGTTTGTGTTCCCTTTGGAAAGAAGAAAATTGAAGTGACTTCTCCAAGCTAATAGTCAGGCTAGTTTCTGAATAAGAATTTAAACTTGTCTTGTATTTGAAGTTCTTTCCTTCATACTAGAGACTGTTGACTCACCCAAGGGAAACGTGAACACTGAATGCTCACTCAAACTATTTTATGTATCATTTTGGGGGATTTTTTAGGTGTGTGTGTGTGTGTGTGTGTGTGTGTGTGTGTGTGTGTGAAAGAGAGAGAGAGGGAGGAGGGAGAGAGAGAGAGAGTATTGAGGTTTGAAATCAGGGCCTGGGCACTGTCCTTTATCCTTTTCTACTCAAGGCTAGTGTTCTACCACTTGAGCCAAAGCTCTGCTTCTGGCTTTTTGCTGGTTAGAGATAAGAGTCTGCAGACTTTCCTGCCCAGACTCTCTTTAAACCACAGTCCTTGGATCTCAACCTCCTGAGTAGATAGGACTGTGAGTATGAGTCACCAGTGCCCTGCTAGACTTTTTGAAGTTCAACCACAGATGAAGGAGTTCATGAGTGCTGGTTAAGAATGTTGGTTAATGCTGGTTAAGTATTATGTGGACTAGCACTTCACTGTTTTAGTGACTCATCATGTTATAAAAGTCTCCAGCAATGCAGTTAAATTAAAAAAACAGTGAAGGGGAGCTGGGAAGATGGCTCAGTGGTAGAACACTTGCCTTGCATGCCTCTGAGGCCCTGGGTTCGATTCCTCAGCACCACATAAGCAAAAAGAAAAAAGCCGGAAGTGACGCTGTGGCTCAAGGGGTAGAGCACTAGCCTTGAGCTGAAGAGCTGAGGGACAGTACCCCGGCCCAGAGTTCAGGCCCCACGACCAGACCAAAAAAACAAACAACAACAACAAAAAAACAGTGAAGGGCTGGGAAGGTGGCTCAGTGGTAGAGTGCTTGCCTTACATGCATGAGGCCCTGGGTTTGATTCCTCAGCACCACATAAGCAGAAAAAGCCGGAAGTGATGCTGTGGCTCAAGTGATAGAAGGCGAGCCTTGAGCTGAAGAGCTGAGGGACAGGGCCCAGGCCCAAAGTTCAGGCCCCATGACTGACAAACAAAAAAACAGCACAACAACAACAACAAAACAGTGAAGAAAAAGAGGGAGAACTTTTCTCCTCCTGCTGCTGCTGTGGCTCCTCCTCCTCCTTCTCTTCCTCCTCCTCCTCCTGCTCCTGCTTCTGCTCCTGCTCCGGTCTGGGCTTTGCCCCTGAGATTTTTTTTGCTCAAGAAGAGTGCTCTACCACTTGAGCCACAGCACCACTTATGTCTTTTTTGAGTAGTTTATTGGAGATAAGAGTCTCACAGAGTTTTCCTGCCTGGGCTGATTTTGAACTGCGATCCTCAGATCTCTGCCTCCTGAATGGCTAGGATTATAGGCTGAGCCACTAGTACCTGGCTAAAGTTTTGCTTCTTGATGTAAAACCACCCCATTCTTTCCCAAGCAGGTCATAGTCTTTAGTGGATTGAAATCTGTTGCTTTTGTAAAATACTTAAATACTAGCTGCTTGCTAGTGTGCAGTCTATAGAAATATGTGTTTCAGCAAACACTGTGATTCAAGTGGAAACCAGCAACTTTATCTCAAGCCATGCAAAGGATTTTTGGCTGATAATACAATGTAGTGGTGATTTCTAGCTGTTTTTTTTTTGTGATTCACCTATGAATGTTCCTAAATGTTAATTAAAAGTGGTGTGTTTTCTGGGTTTAAATTACCTTTTTTAAATGGGAGAATACTTGTGTACATTAGCTCTGGTATTCTTATGTAGTTGAGGCTTAGAAAGAGGGATTCCTTTTGCATAGCAAGCTGGTTTGCTAACATTTATTTGGAGTGGATTTTAGGGGGTGCCTAAAAAGTACAGGAAGGTTCCTAAGATTGTTCCCTTATTATTTCCTGGCACCACAACTTTATGTCTTCTATCAACTTTTGAAAGTGGTAAGAGATGCTAATGATTTTGATGAAATACTTCCAGGTCAATTGGGGAGTATGGGATGTATGGTCATTATAACTATAATTAAAATATTCATTGTTCTCTTAATGTGTAATAGGACTAGTACCTCACTAAAGGTTAATTTAAACTTCTGGGTAATTTAGGAAAATAATTAAAAACTTACATTTATGTTTTTAATTTAAGCAAATATATGTTTATTCTTATAAATGGTCAAGTTCTTTTACATACTTACAGATCTACTAATTAAAGTACTTGTATTTTATATTTATAATGTCCTCACAGCTTGTGAGAATTCATCTATGTGTTCTAGGGTTTTTATTACTTTTTGTGGTTGTTCATTTATTTGTTTA